TTTTTTTTTTTTTTTTTTTTTTTTTTTTTCCTTATAGGGAAAGAATTGGGCTCATCGGTATACACATTTGGAGAAAATAAATAGTCTCCAGGCTGACAACTGCAGTGGTGAGCTTTGACCTTCTGCAGTTTCAAACAGCTGATTTAATCCCTTGAATAAGGCTTGGCATGGAAAGGCTGACAGGACCTTAATTATGGGGTCATGATACTATAATTATCAATAGCAAAGTGAAATAAACTCTGCTTATCCAGCTCAAAGCACTTAATAACCACGGGAAATCTTTCACAAATCATTTTGCCTTTGCCTGTAGAGGTAGTGAAATAGAGAAAGACAGGACTTTCTGCTTCAGTTTACATGGTGCAATCATGATAAATGGGTTTCCTCCAGAAACACAACATTACAATTCTCTTCCTTCAGCATCCTCTGCAACCCTCCTTTTAACTTGGTAGCTCCATCTGTTCAGCTTCTTACACTCCAATATGTTTTCATCTATTAAAAAGTCCAAATATTGTGAGAAACCCGTCAGGAGAGGGAACAGCCATCTGAATCCCAAGCAACAACGTGCTCTGGTTTGATACCAAAGACAGAAATTCAAGTTAGATTCTGGTTTCCAAGCCACAGATGATCACTGGGTACCAGGTGTTTTCATAGACAGGCTGCTCCAAGCCTGCCAAGGGAGCATTTTTTTGTACTCCATGAGATCTTTCTTCTTGTCAAGTATTATTGGTTGGAGTTAAAACTCACTGTCTGAGACCTGCAAGGATGCTGCAGATGTGGTGTCCTTCCGGCAGGCTGCTTTCCATCATGTGTCGCACACTTGACTTCTGTATTCAAAAAAAAGCAACCAAACAAAAGTTCCACCAGGTGAAAGAGGAAGATAAGTACCTCAGACTCTCTTAGTACTTCAGTGAGCCTTTTTCTTTTTTTAACACCATCTGTTTAATAAGTTTTTGTTAGGTCGTTTACAGTCAGAGCACAGGACCTGAGCATTCGTTTTGCTTTTGGCAGCTTTTGGAGCCACACACCGCTCTGAGGAAAGCGTGGCTGTGCTCGGGGCTGCTGCTGCCACAGCTCCAAGGAAGCCTCCAGTCGTTGCAATGATATGTCATTGCCTCAACTACGTGGGGCACAAAGCTCCCAGCCAAGAAAAAAACGAGACCTATAGCAAGTGCATAGGATCATGGTAGATGCAGGGGAGGGCGGGGCTGAGCAAGCCGGTCTTTGCAGATGTGGGAGAAAAAACAATTTTCCTTGGCCTCTTGCTTACAGCATTTATTTTTTTTCCTTCCCTCCCCTTTCCTTCTAAAGCTGGCATAGCATATGCACATGTTAATGTTTGTATCAAGCTGAATAGTTAATGTGCCTGCCCTGGAAGGATGAGGAGGAATCTACACGCTGAAAATGGAAATTTGACTTTGCTTTTTGCACAGTGCCTTGTCTGGATGCTTTTGTTGATTTTTTGATTATTGCTTGTGGCTTAATGAAAAGAAGTGAAAGACTCCTGTCGGAGTCCCTTTTAATAGTTCCAGACTTGAGAAATGTTCTGAACTCAGCAAGCTTGATCGTAATCTTCCAAAGAATTTCAAGCTCTTGTCCTGCTCTCCAGGGAACCAACAGCTCATATTCTGTTCCTTCTGTGCCTTTCTTTCTGAGTTTTCCAGTTTCAGTATGTAAAAATGTAAGAAGGAAAAGAGGGTGCCATCTTAAGCCTCTCCAAGTTTTAATATTTTGTCCTTAATAGCATTAGATTGCTCTTCAGCAGTATATAGTATTAGTCAAGCTTCCGACTGTGCAATGCAGATAATTAATGGAGGCTTTAATCTCTAAATTATTACTGAAAAGATCCACAGTAACTGGAAGTTTTACAATCATATTTGTATTTTCCTCTCCAAGAATTTGACCCCTTTTTCTTAAAACCTTCTTCCTCGCTGAAGGCTTTCAAATGAAATCTTCAGGAATATTTAAATAAAATATCTGTTTTACCCAGAGTTAGAGGCATACACAATTGGAAGTGGCTCAAAACATTTGAAAAAAATATAACTCAGATATTCTGTCTCTGTTAAAAATTGGGGAACACTGTGGAAATGGTGTATTTTCAGCCTTTAGGCTATCACGTCATTTGTGGTTAGTTCTTTATGTTTTAGTTTGGCTGATCTATCAAAAGTATAAAATTGTATCTAGCAGGTATCTGTTAAGAGTTTTAGCCAGTGCATCTCCTTACCTTGTCTCCTCAAAGCAAGTCTGCATATTGCAGTAGTTGAAATGTTGGCAATGACTTGATTGTGCTATGAGTTATCTTCACGGAGAGAAAATATGGGGTAGTAAAGGGCCCTTGCAAAGGGCCTCTTAATCTTGCAAGGAGCAGCAATTATTGGCTGCAAATAACAGCCACACTTCTCAATAGAACAAAGGGATTAAATTCTAATACATGGCCTAATTAATTATTGCACCAGTCAAACCAGGGTAGTAGATCCCCCTCCTCTTAGACATTTCAGATGAACACATGTATCTTCCCCTAGAAGATACTCAATAGTTGGTCCTAATCTGGGGGAAAATGGACAGGAGAGTGTCTGTACAAGACGTTGGAATAGATGTTCTAGTAGTACCTTTTCACTTCTGAAACATAGGGATGAGTAATCTGTCTGCACAAACGTTTCCAGTACCACTCCCACCAGGGAAGTTCCTTTGCCGTTAGGATATGTCTCCATCATAAAAGACTACAGTAGATAAGAACCAGATGCTGCATGTCTTCCCAGTTTCCTACTTCTATGACCATGGTAGAAACAACCCTTCTTTCAAGTCAGTCTTTCTCTCCACTTTCAGCTCACTCTCGGGGTAGATTTACTGAGGATTAAGGTGGGGATGGGTTCCCTTCCTTCCCCAGTGCATTACTCGAGCTGATGGCATTCATGGGGTCATGTCTTTGCAGACACATAGCACACTAGTCTGCAACTGGATTTTTTTCTGATTTCTTGTTGTTCTGAATTGCACTTAAAAAGGCCTTTCTTGAAAAGTATTTTCTTTGGCTTTAGCTCTTGGGGGCTTGCTAGAGTCAGATGGACTCCCGTAAAAAGAAGGGAGTTAACTTACCAGCTGGCCTTCATCTTTCTTCACCAAACTAGATTTGGCATTTGCTAAAAGTTTTTGTGTCCTAGGAGGATTCACAAGGGGGATATGATCTAGAGAAATTCTGAAAGAGATTGAGTTCTGCATTGTCTATTTCTCAGCACTGCCAACAGAGACAAATAACAGTGGAAAAGCGCACATTCAGGCTCTTCAATTAGCATGCTGATCCAGCACAACTGTTTTGTTGTGCTTCATCAATACGCAGATCACATCCTACCTTCCCCTAAAGCATCAGTGGAGCTCAAAGAAGATTATTAAAAACACCTTGTATGAGATGAAAGTTCTGATTAGGTTTTGTTTCAGGTGCGAAACCTGCTCCTGGGATCTGCTTTGAGAGAGTCAATTCTGCAGGTGATCCTTACGGCAACTGTGGCAAAGACTCCAAGAGCTCCTTTGCTAAATGTGAACCCAGGTAGGGTCTCTCCCTGCAAACACAGGCACACGTGCAAGGGTGGTGGGAGAGGGTTTATAACATTTAACGTTATTTAACTTATCTTTGGCTTTATTTCCTGCAGAGATGCCAAATGTGGAAAAATCCAGTGTCAAGGAGGTGCAAACCGACCTGTAATTGGTACCAATGCTGTTTCCATAGAAACCAATATCCCACTTCAGGAAGGTGGCAAGATTCTGTGTCGTGGTACCCACGTGTACTTGGGTGATGATATGCCCGACCCTGGTCTCGTGCTGTCAGGAACCAAGTGCGAAGATGGAAAAGTAAGGATCCAAAACACTCCCAAACAAGAACATCACTACGCTCATGCTGCCAAGTATTTTGTACTAAACTGGCTGGGGTTGGCCTTGGGATTTTTTTTTTTTTTTTTTTTTTTTGTTTCTCATGCTCACACTGAGTCAGATTTTCACTCCCTTCTTCTTTTGGCCTCTGTTCTGGATTACAGATTTGCAGATGAAATGCAAGTTGCTTCATTTTATAACTGATTTTTTGAGGACAGTCCCAAATATCTGTCCATGTAGGAGAGAGGTTTTCTGCTAAGTACAGCAAAATACGTTACAGGCTTTTTAATGAATTTATGAAGAGTTCAACGCATTCACTGTCCCAGTTACTATAGCATTTCAAAATTGTCATTAACTTCATGTTTCAAAATTTATTATATCTGCTGATTATGGCTCCCACACACACCCCATTATTTTTTTTTTTCTTGCAGGAAAAGCCATCTCTGTAGGCACTATTAGAAAAATATAAATTCATTGATGTTCAGCCACCAAAACTGGGGTTTTTTAATCATATTTTACAAACTCTGTGAACCATCCGAAGTGAACATAGTCCAGATTTCAAATGTCTCATTCTTAGTTTTTCTTTTGTAAGAAAAGGAACAGAGAAAAATGAGAGACAGCCATGAGTTTACAGAGGCGGGGGGAAGTGGAAAGGAGCCCAAGAACTGTTGAAATGAAGATTTCCATACCCTCAGTGGATTACTTGCAAAAAGAAAAAAAAAAAAAAGTTCTTTGATAATTTATGGTAAATTCAAGTAAGCTTCTGAATTTTTGAATGCTTTTGAATTACGTTGGATTATCACACTGCATTGGGAATGGGTTTAAAATACATCCCGAGTGAAACTACAGTTCTGTTACAGGAAAACAACCCTTACAACATTTCTAAGTCAATCTGTTATAAAATGTCTTTTCAAAGAAAATTCAACGCTGGGAAAGCACCCCATTATGTTTTACTAATGAGTATTTAATCTTTCTAATCTATCTAATCATACACATACACACTATAGAATACACAGGCTAATACTTAGGAAATTGTATGTTTTACTTTGAGGACATTAGTGCGTTTGTATTATGGATTAAGAATATGAATTTAAATATTCTTGAGTTTTCTAAGCCGAAGATACACAATTTGAAATGCAGCCATTTTAATGTGATCAAAATTCTGTGTGCTACTGCACTGTGAATATTTGAATTGTGAATACTGCTGTAATCAGACCATATTCTCTACATGCATGCGTGTTGATGCCAATTCACTCTAATTTCCTTTCCATTTTTCCTTCTCCCCAGGGGATAAGTGCCCTGATTAAGCATCCCTGTCGTCTCCTTCAACACTATTCCCTGCTTAATGCTAATTATTGTGACTGACTTTTAGTACTACTGAACTGAACTGCAGTTAAACACGAGCAAAATTGTGCAGTGATTTTTTTTTCTTTCTTTTTTTTTTTTTTTTTTTTTTTTTTGGTCAACATAGCATAGTAACACTTATTCCAGCCCTAATTTCTTCTTTTTTCAGTAGAATAACTTCTCGTTACAGACATCTTCATCAGTCTTTTGGATGTTTGATGGTATTATTAGATGGTGCTAATCTTGCTTTACTTTAGTTTTCAGTGGTATTAGATAAGTTAACCCATACTGGAAAACAAACAAACAAACATTACTTTGCATATGCTATTTGTTTACTTCCATTCCATATAAGATTATTATTACACTTTAAATATTGTTGGTTTCTATTTGACACTAAAAAAATTGTTTAGTTTGGCAAAACTCTTAGGCAGGTCTGAGTTTTGCTGAAGAACAATGATGAGCCCATATATATCAATGACCTCAGTTAAATATTCAGGCTGTCCCGGGTCCAAGTTCAGTACTAGCATAAAAAAATTATTGGATTGCACTATTAATATAAACAGAATTATGCTAATTAACACCACGAGAGGACCTGAACCCTTCCTTGAGGAATCATCTGCTGCTGTGAAGACATGAATGCAGTCAGCCCTGGTACGTGGAAGAATCCTGCTCAGTGCATTCCTAGGTCTGAAAAAATGCAAATTACTGGTTTTTAAATTGACTTAAAAAAAACCCCAAACCCCAGTGGCTCACCACAAGTTCCACTTCAGGGAAACTGCAAGTGTTTATTTACACAAGCTCAGCATATCAACCAAACATGAACTATGTCTGAAATTCAGTATTGGCCGGGATGCCAGTCAAGAGCAGAATTCAACTTTCACAGATTTGGACCTAAATAACTTATAAAGGCAGAAGAAGAAGACGACACCACTTAATTCTGGTATTCTTATCTTTTTGTCAATATACTGTCAATGCAGCGTGTGTATTGGGAAATCTTTAACAGCTGTGAGAACCACTGATGGATGAGCAGACATACAGAGGAGGACATGATGCCTTGGGAGCACCAGCAGTTCTATCCCTATTAAAACTCCTTTTCTCTTTATTTTGCAGATTTGCCTTAATCGCCGGTGCCAGAATACAAGTGTTTTTGGTGTACATAAATGTGCAACAAAGTGCCATGGACGTGGAGTAAGCATTATAGAAACACTTTTTTTTACAATCAGTCAATAAACACTGGACAAGAAATAATTTTACGTAATAGCTTTGGGATCTGTGATTGTTTGTAATATATCAAATTCACTGCAATCCTTTTTTATTCTATATTTCTGTTTTCAGTGTCCCTTATATGAACTGCAAGAAATGAAAGTATTTTTATTTAACAAAAAAAAATTATCAAGTAGTAATTATCTTGTTCTTAATTAACAGTCTGTGATAAAAAGGAATTTTGTCATCTTCAAAGCAATTTTAAGTCTACCCTCCCTTCATGAAGAATTTCATTAACATTTCAAAAAATACAGTTTCTGTGTGGGAACAGAGAAGTTAAAATATGCATTTGAGCTGACAGTCAAATGGAAAAGCATTTCCAAAAGTATTAAAGTAAAACCATATTGATGAGTTTCATGGTATGAAAGCGGTGCAGGATGAAAAATTTGATGATATCAGTTCATAATATCAAAGTGTTTTGAAACCTCGTTTATACTATGAACATGTTAATTGTGTCAAGCTATGCCTTATTAATGATTTGCTGATGATCTGTTTGTTTCTGTATAAAGCTGTGGCGACCACTTTGGAAGAGCCACAGGAAATTCTCCGTCCTCTCCTGAGAAGGGATTTTCATTTGCTTTAACTTCTTTTATCCTCCTGCATTTGCGAAACTGTGATGGTGCTGCACGTTATCATTGTGCCGGAATGAGCATCAGCTTAGACTGGCATCTTCGTGTCTGCTCAACGGAGACCCTCTGGTGACTCCTGAGTAGCAAAAAATGACCTTGTGGAACTGTAGATAGGAACTCCTGAAGCATTTTAATTTTAAAAAGAATGCTTAAGGAATGGTATTTTTTATTATCTTGCTGTCGTTGAAAATATTTTTTTTATTTTTTTGCATTTTACACGACCATAGCCAGTCTAAGCTGTGTGAATATTTTAATACTCTGCAGACACAACCAGTATTGTCTTTCTGAAAGCCTTCCAACTGACCTTGCCAGAAAAATGCATATTTGCAAACTCTTGTGAACTCACTAATGTCTTACTCAGAAACCCATTTATTAATCTATTTTGTGGCTTCTCCATGGTGGTGGCAGATCAGTGTTAGCACAGATGTAAGTACTTTATTGACAACTAGCCCTAATCCCAGAAACTTTATTTAAAAATCAATTTGAGCATCTACATATGACTGTGCCATCTCTCTCCTGTGCAACAAGATTTTTTTGGCCTGTTCGGTTTGTGCATTTTGTTGATACAACACAAAGCTTTAGCCTCTCAATTAATTTCATAGCCACTGCTTGGGTGGCCGCAGAAGGAAATAAAAAGCAGCCCTTCTTTTGGGTGGGTTTTGGGAACTTTGGGACCTCCTGAGGAAAAATCCATGAGTCTTCCAGCTCCTTCTGCTCTGTGCAGCAGGAACAGGCTGATGTTAACGATGGACTCCAGTCCTTCAGAGCTCTCTTATTCTGCAGGCAGAATTTGGTAAATCAGGTCTTGCTAGTTGTTCCTTAACTCAGATTAAAGCCACCAGAACCCTGAGGACTGTATCCGTATAGGCAGTGCAGATGCGATGATGTCAAAGGGAGGGTTTCCTCAGCCCTGATTCCAGTTTCACACGTTCTTCCAGCAACTGGTTCCCCTTAGAGCTGGGGGATCTGAGCAGTGGAAAAATCAGTATGCAGCCTAGTGCAAGCCCTTGATGGATAGGAGTGCTCAAGTGGGCTGACAAAGCTTTACAGCCTTAACAGCACAGAGAGACTCTTGTTCCTGTGAAGGCAGAAGGAACAGAAGTTAGAAAGCAGATCATGTTGCTGCTGGAGGCAAAGAGAGAATAAGACTTAAGAGGTGTGTGATTATCCTTATATTATTGAAATTGTCAGCTGGTGCAACTCAAACGATTACCTGCCAAATAAATAATGCTTTTTTTAGGATCCCTGTTAGTCCATGGTGTCTCGCACTCAGAGTTGCTCTGTGCCATCTTAGTTGTGCCAATAGGCAGATCCCAGTACATCTCTTTTCTTCTCAAAGTTTTATTTCTTTCAGACGTGTCGCTACCTGATCAGGAGGCCTTATCAGCCAGTGCTGCTCTCAGGTATATATGTGTATAGGGCAAGCCTTTCCACGTTGAGCCATTTGTCTTGTTTTGCAGGTCTGCAACAATAAAAAGAACTGTCACTGCGAGGCTGACTGGGCACCCCCCTACTGTGACAAGCCAGGGTTTGGTGGCAGTATGGACAGCGGGCCAATTAGACAAGCCGGTTAGTAGTAATTCATGCTTTACCTGTTGTTTCCGTGATAAAGAGTGGAAATACAGAGTGTCTTGTAAGCAGTGAGCTTGCAAGATTGGGAAATGAGTCAGTAAATCAAACGGCTTAATCCAAACACATTGGCACCAACCTGGGAATTTAGTGAAGCTAAGGCAAGGATGCAGAGTACATCAATTTTCTTCATAACTAAAGGCACAGTGGTCCTGGCAGGTTCTTTTCTTTGCCTTTTTTTTTTTTTTAAGATACATGGTCAAGTTTAGTAGCTGAGTGCAGTAGATAGGAAATGGTATTGATTTAAGCCGAGGATGAGGACCTAACTCCCACACTTGTGCTAATCCTGTTGCCATGGTAGATGAATGTTGCAGTACTCTTGGATTCACCTTGAGATACGCCAAGCTCCAGTGTTCTCCAGAAATACCTTATTGTACACACAGCCTGCTCCTATAGTTATGTACCTAATGGAGAGTGAGTATTGCAGTGATTAGAAATGCAAAATTATTGCCTAATCAAAATTCAGAAATATATTTCACATAGCTCTTCCAAGAAGGAGCTTTTGTATTGTGGAAAATATCAGACTTCTGACCGTATCAGATTAAAACTAGATTTTACAGATAGCTTCCACACATTTGCCAGAAGTTGCCCTCACATATGATAGTGGCAGGAGACATACGTTTTCTGTAATTTGTGTTTCAATTTCCCCTTTTCAGTCTGCAGAACATTAGCTATATAGTATCTTACTTCACCTTTGGCCAAACTCAGAAAGAATTATTTTTACACATTGTGAATTTTATAGGATTTGATAATCATCACATGCCAATTTTTGTCCAGAGTACTGTAACTTTAGTGACTTCCATCGAGATGTGTCTGATTTATGTCTGAGTACGTGACAGGACAAACAGTCTACTCACATGTACATATATAAACTGAAACTTGCTGGGAAATGATCTGCATGTTTTTATATGAATAATACAATTCGAAACCAAAATCGATCGTATTCTCTACATGCCAGATCCTGCAGTGAATTGTAATACTGGATTTATGACATCACGGTCATTTCCATGACAAAGCTCTACATTATGATTTCACTGTTGAAAGATGTTTTTTCAAAATACCTACCAGTCCATAAGATAGCAAAGAAACCGTGCTCAGGCACTGAACAAGTGTGATTAATTCTTTGTTAAATGTTTTCTTTTAAGATTTTCTCTAAGGCATTATAGTCCTTTTTCAGCTTACCTGAAAGCTAAGCATCTAGGGAGCTACAAAATATATTTTAATAACGTGCTGCATAGAGAACGCTAACTGGAGACGATAAATACAGGACATCTTTGATAATTCTTGCATTTTGTGCTTTGGAAGCCAACACTTCAATTAAACAGAAAATTGTTTTAAAAATTGTTGAATATAGTGTGGTATTTTCACCATTTTTCTCAAAAGACAGTGCTACGTTCAATTTTACTGGGATTAAAAAAAATATGGAAATTGCTAGAGGACCTAATTTTCTATCACTGACACTTGGATTTAAATATGAACACTTGATGGGGTGGTTTGGATCACGATCTGAGTAGTTTGAACATCTCTAAATCAAATTACAGAAGGATTAGCTCAATAAAATACTTTCATCTTAGTCAAACAAGGCACGTGGTCTCATTAGTATTTTGTAACTGATTTTACCCAGCTGACTTAGAATAAACCTATGTGTTTGACACTCTATATTTTTCTTACAAAGAAGCCCTAAGTATTTAATTGTTAGGTAGTCAAGTTCACTAATTTAAATTGCATAATCTTATTTTATTAATTCTATTAATCTCTTAGAGATGGTGAGGGATTTATAATTCTGCAGTGCTCTAAGGTAAAGAGCGTAGCACTTCATGCCCCGTCAAGCCCCACATGTAGTTCATTCCCTCAGTGTTGCTGACTGTTCAGCAGCATCTGAGTGAGTTTAGGCTGGTAGATGAGAGCCAGCTGGCTGCAAATCAGTCAGGATAAGAGAGACAGTGATGACAGGTTACCAGAGCAAAGATTGAAGATGCTTCTCCTACTGTGGGAGTGTGCATTTTTTAGGTCAGCGGTCCTGAAGAATCTCAACATCCTCTCCTCCAGGCAGTGATCATATCACGTATCTATAACGGTCAGAGCTGCTGCTTACCTATTCCTAAAAATCATAGAATCCTTTACATTGGAGAAATGACCTTTATGATTAACCTTACACTGCCAAGGCCTCCACTAAACCATGTGCCTGAGTGCCACATCTACATGATGGTGACTCAGCTGCTTCCCTGGGCAGCCTGTTCCAATGCTTGACAACCCGTTCAGTGAAGAAATGTTTACTAATATGCAATCTAAACTTTCCTTGGTGCAACTGGAGGCCATTTCCTCTTGTCCCATCACTTGTTACTCGGGAGAAGAGACCCCACTTCACCCTCCTGTCAGGTCTCCCCTCAGCCCCCTCTTCTCCAGACTGAAGCCCCCCAGTTCCCCCAGCCACTCCCCAGCAGACCTGTGACACGCTCCAGCACATCAGTGTCTGTCTTGCAGTGAGGGGCCCAAAACTGAACCCAATATTTGAGGTGTGGCCTCACCAGTGCCGAGCACAGGGCTCAGACCCTTCCCTGTCCCTGCTGGCCGTGCTATTGCTGACACAAGCCATAAGGCTTCCTTGCAGCTGCAAGTCATCTAGTCAGGGTTCATCTCGCTGTTGTGCCTCAGTTGGGTCCCGGCAAAGGACTTGAAGCCACTTAAAGCATTCTGAAAACTGGAACAAGTGCAGAAGGCTGCAGCCCCTTGATGAGCAGAGCATCCCTCTGAGAGCACACACCATTGCTGAAGGCTTTCCTTCAGCTCCTCGCTTACCCCCCAGATTGATCTTGACAGCCATCTGGACGGGACCACAGTAGTCCAGATTTCAGACTCTTTGCCTAGTGTTAAAGCACAGCGAAGCCCTTTAAATCTGGTTATAAAGGAGCTAGGGCTACTGCCTATGTCTGAGGGACAGCTGGGTATTTCTGCCCCTTTCCTCTCCCTCTCAGCCTCTGTCTCCCTCCCACCCTGACAGCAGGCAGCCCATGAAGAAAAAGCCGGTCAACAGTGCTCCAGCCATCACCCTGTGGGTGTCTGGATGAGGCCAACAGCCCGTACAACTTGTGGCCCCCTTTGGAGGTGACAACCTAAGCAAGGCCTGACCACAGGTGCAGAGAGCATACATGGAGGTGTTCATGTTTGGACCCAGCTGTCAGACTAGACTAGAACTGAAGGGTTCCGTTGGGAGAGACCTACAACATTCTATTTTAACCAGTTTCTCCCCAGTCTTAAAGAAATAACTTTCAAACAAGCCAAAAATTCAAGTATCAGTCTAGAAAAGAAAAATAATTAAAGAGTTTACTAGTCTTCTATTCACAGTTTATTCACTTCACCTGCATTGCAGTTACAAACCCGGGCCAGGCAGCAAGTGCTGATCCATATACACAACACCCTTCAGTAGAGATGGCTCTAGAGAGAAGATAACTCAATGTGTTTTGTTGCAGATAATAAGAGTTTAACCATAGGAGTGCTGATAACCATCCTGTGCCTTATCTTTGCTGGATCAATCATGTATCTGAAAAGGAAGACTTTCATGAGATGGTTGTTTACAAGTAAAAAGACGACAATAGAGAAACTAAGGTATGATCATTTTCCCTAATTATACTCTAATATAATAGCTATTAGTAGAAAGTAGCTGTAAACATAGCAGCTCTCATCTTGACACTCATCACCGAACGGTGTGAATATGTTAGAGTCAGCCTCAACAAAAATATTCACCAAGAACTAACAGCAGTGTGTGGTTTAATTTTACCGATTGCCAGTAAATAATGTTGGTTTTGGTTTGACTATATACCTCTTTTTTTTTGTGATAAAAAATTAAGAACTGGAGGAAGTATTGGCTTTATTTTCATTTGCTTGAAATAGTTTTATTACATTGCATGGCCTTTTATCTAAACTTAGTCGAGTGAGCTGAAACTTTCATATTTGAGGTCATTACTGTTTAAATGCTGGATTCATTAGAATAGTCTCTTGGGTGTTACAAAGCTGCATATCCACAGATTGCAGAAGCTAATTTAACAGACTACTGGTTTCCAAAAAATCAATATTTATTTTTATTCTTGCAGGAGCACTAGACAATTTTTACTTTCCTTGTTTACTACAAAAAGTCAGAAAGTCCTTGCAAAATCTCATTCTGAGAAGAGGCTACCGTTTAAAAAAGTGTTCTGAAGCAGAATGTTGTGTTCAGTAAATCCGTGTTTGTACTGCAGGTCCGTGAGTCCAGCAAGACCTTCCAGTTCATCTGACCCTAATCATGTTCATACCACATCTCTCAGCAAAAATCTCATCACGAAGCCACAAAATACAAACATACAAAAAGTGAGTCCCTAAATAGTTTACGGGGGGGAAAAAAAAAAAAAAAAAAAAAAACATATTATATATTTTGGATCTCATTTAAGTAATGTATTATAACGCAATTTTTACATGAGCTTAATATGATGTAGAACTAACAACATGTAAAATGGGAGAAGATGTAGGCTTCAGGATACATTTATGGATTCTAAGTTTTAGACAGGTGGAGATGTCAAGTGCAGAAAAGAAATGGGTTAGTCTCCAGGACAGAGCCAGCCGACTTGCACCAGGATCCTACATCTGAACAGTGAAGGATTAGTGCTTGAGTAGGACTCTGGAAGCTGTTAATCGCTTCTCTGGTTGCAGAGGTGCTGAAGGTGGATGAAAGCAGAGTAGAAGAGAAAAGCAAGCAAAAAACCCATAAATTTTAAAGTAGCAACGCTTATGTCAACTCTTGAAGTCTCTAACTTTTGGTTGGGGTTGTTTTTATAGAGAGAGGGTCCAAGAAGACCGCTGCCATATCAGATCATTGACATTAGTAACCCTGTGAAGACACATGATTTACCACAATTAAAAACACCGCAGCGAGTCCTGCCACCCCTTCCCCAGCTGCCCTGTCACCAAGCTGTGCCTGAAAGACCCTTGCCAGCTAACCCTTCGCTGAGGTTTGCCCAGGTAACCATTCATTCTCTTTAAGCTTCTCTTCTATTTAATATTTAACATGTGAGTATCTGCACGTAGTGAAGAGGAATGAATTGTCTTCTCCTCTTTCATACTGGCCTTTTCCCACAGTAGCTCCTTTGTACAAGTTTAGAAATGCAGCGTAGATATATTGGTTTATGCCAGCTGATTTAGAATCCTCAACTCTCTCTTCACCAGTCAAAAGACACAAGAGTATAAACAAGCTCCGTATGACAGGCAAACACGGGCTCATTTTGCCAGCTGCCCAACTGGAGGGGAAACGGTATGGTTTGTTAGCAAGGTGCCAAATACGGTGATAGAGTTTAGGAAGCCAAGTTGCAGATGTCTTGCACGAGAGCAAAAGGTATGTTAGCTTGATGTCCTTCTGTTCTGCCAAGGGGTGTATGAACTGCGTTGTTTTTTGGTTTGGTTTGTTTTTTTTTTCTAGAGATCTTTCCAGATCCGAAAAGCAGACTTGTAATTACCCACACTATTTCATGTAGATGTACCTTTCGTTGCAACGTGTAAATGCAGCTGGTAACCCTTTTTTTTTTTGTAATTAGATGCATCTCAAGGTGATATTCAGGGCTATTTGTATTAAATTGTCCCTTTCCTTATCACTGGCTTCTCTCTTTTGGTTGCAGTTGTAGTGTGACTGTGTCTGAGCAAAGGAATCAGGCACCCAGCTAGTTCTGTTTTGTAGTCATGGTGCTATTCTGGATATAGTTCAAGATTAAAATGATGTGACTGTTATCACCGAGCTAGCTTAAACGAGTATCAGATAGATTTGGATGCACGTACCGCAAATCCGTACTCAGATAGCTGTGTCTTGAGTGACTGTGCCTATCTGAACCTAGCTGGGATGTCGAAGGACAGAGCACCCTCTTCCTGCAGCAGCCTTGTGAGCTACCCAGGGACACTTTCCCAATGATTTAGAGGAGGGCATGGCTATGAGAAACAGTTGCTGAAGCACAGTGCTTTGAAAAACGATTGTAAAAATAACACAGAAACAAAAAGGGGTGAGACGGTGCTGAGGTGTCACGGCAGTGTGCTTACATTTTATGACGACAACAACAACAACAAAATCTAGTTTTAATTTTGTCTAAAGCTGAACACTGAATCACTCAGGCCATATTTTATAAGTGTAGCCAGTTTATTAAATGCTTTTGAAGTATTTAAGATTTTTTGTCTTTCTTTTTCCATCTTGCTAGTCATTTATTTTCTTTCTCAGAGGAATGGGAAATACTGTTTTTTTCTAAAATCAGTTTTATAGAAAATCTGAAGTAGCATTGGTTTTGTCTGTTGCTTTTGTCTTTAGCTCCAGTGTTCCTTGTTTATTTTCTTAATTAAAACATTCTGCATATTTCACAGTGGTCAAAGTTAAGATTTTAAGTGAAAGTAATTTTCTATTTCTGAATCAAATGGTTCCATTAAAAAAAAAAAAAAAAATCTATTTCTTCTTACCTAGCAATTTATAAGCTTACACTGTCTCCCACTAGGAGAAGACAGATGGAGAAAAGTCTTTCCAAGAAAAAGTAACCATTTCTCATTCCGATGGTGCATCACTGTTTGCCCCAGGCTGTCACGGCACATCAGAGCAGCCCAACTCAGCACTACAATTCACATTCCTAAGTGCCCTCCCCTTCAAACCCCACATAAAGCACAAGCTAGAATACCAAATCTCTAGTACTGTCATTACCAAACACTGACAGATACGAAACTGCCAAAAAGCTTTCGAGTTTGGCAGCTTAAATTAATTGTGACAGTTACTCCATCAAGCAAAATATTGCTGTTTGCAATTTTCAGTTGCTGCGTGAAACAGAAGTAGGACAAACAAGGGATCAACTCAAGGCAACTCAGCGAATAAGCAAAAGTGGCTTCTTTCTAAATTATGTGTATAACCTCAATTCAGGATTGTCAGAAATAGCGACTTTTTATATCCTAGCGACTTTTTATATCCTAGAGACACAGAACACACAGTACGGGAAGAAAATCGTTTCTTCTGAAGTTAACAAATTTACCCCCTCAAAGCTTGGAAGCAGTAAATTAACTTAAGAATAGTCTTGGTCTAGTTTATATAGATACTACTTAATGTCTTGCTTCAGCACTCTCTTGGAACTGCATCCATCAGGTCCTCAAGAGGAAGCACTTTAAACATCACTGCTACATTCCTAATATCATCCAGCTGCTGGGTGCCGCGGTACAGCGCTGGAGCAGAGGATCTGAAACCATTCACTGCGCCCCTGGATCCGCAGCTGCCACCTCCTGCTTCTCCCTCGAGAGGGGTATTTAAGCAGGAGCTACTTTCCTGCTGCCTTTGGGCTTCAAGCAGCGGACAGCTGAGGCACAACATACCAAATAGATTTTTGAGACAACCCTCTTCCCTGTAGTGGCTGTTGAGACAGCAATGAATGGATTATTATTTTGCTAAAAAATTTCCTTTCAGATGTAAGTAAAATAGTAAAAAAAAAAAAAACCACCACTAACAACAAAATCCAGGAAATAAACCACTTAGCAGATGAACTTGACTGATAAACAGCTTTTTCTTCTTTCAGTTGCTCTCACAAGGCAAACATACTTTATTTACGGGCCAGATTCACAGTCAGTATAAATAAGCACAGCACCCCCGAAATCGAGGAAACTGCACAGGTTTATCCTAGCCATGGGTTCAGTCCCTGCATCCTGATTTGATCACTTCCATTTTGTTTTGTTACTGTTGGCATTGCTGCCTCTGACACGGTCGTCTTCTTATTACCAAAATATCTCATATTTTACAGGTCATCCTTACTACAGGAAACACAGCTTAATATTTTTATTTTTCCCCTAGTACGACTGAGCTGAGCCCACCTCACTGCTCGCTCTGCCACAGTTATTCTTGCTAATACCTCTCCTATGTTCACCTCAGGCTGGCTTTAGACACAGAAAGCTAACTCAAATTAAGTTCCTATCTAAACAGATTGAGGAAGACACCCCTTCTCATCCAGTGCATTTCAGGCAAGGACCTTCTTCCAATTGCTTATTTTAAAAAAAAAAATATATCAGTGAAACAATTTAAAGCTTCATGCGCCTGATGTCTTTGTAGCTGCTCGGTAGGAGAATTATGTTTTTCTTCCTAGCAGAGATGTAAAAAGAGATCGTAATATTTAAAACAATACTTTCAGAAATACAGAGACTGAGTGCGTTAAATGCTAAGTGGCTGATAGAAAACTGGACAGAGAAATCCATCCGTAAAGTCTTTGTATTAAAAGACCTGAAGCTCTATAAGGGGAAAGAGAGAGAGGGGAAGGAGGGAAGCACCGACATGGTGGGACTAGGAGTGAGCTACGGACTTGCCAGCACATCAAAGGCTACAGCAAGTTTCCACACACGTTCACATACAAAGTTGTATCAATTTGGATTCTCCTGTCGCACATAAAGAATATAAAAGACCTTCCTGTAATCGGTTTGGGGGAGGGGATTTATTTCTTCAAATTTTTTTTTTTTCTTTTGCTTCTAAGAATATGTGTTTTCCTGGTGGCATTTTCCAGTGCTGGCATCTCCTTTCTGTGAAGTGCTCCTCCTCTGAGCTTCATCTCAGCCATTACACAGTCTCCATCTCCATTTTTATCTGAATTATCTCTTTTTTTTTTTTTTTTTCACTCCTTTTACCCTCTCTTACCACCTTGCCACAGACTTTCTGACAAGCCACTTTGCTGCTTCCTCCTTAAGGATATTAACTCAAGGATGACATTTCTACAAGCTCTGGGGAAAAAAAAAAAAAAAAGTCAGGCGTTGGGCTTTTGTACCCATCAGAGTTATGTTTATAGTGAGATTTCTATTTCAACATACTTCCTCACATGGCTGCTTCTTATGGAATAAGAGGCCCTAAGGAATGAGTTTGTCTTAGGCATCATGCTCAGCAGTGAGAAGGTGCTCACTCCACAGCTGAAGAACTGTTCTAGATCAGCCGTTTCATTCGGCTTCCCCTGCAAAGAGAAGGGAAAAAAAAGCAGCTGAGGGGGTCCCATCAGCAATCAGCTGCTCTGAGCTTCTCAGAAAGTTGATCTTTCCTTACTATCAGGTGTTGCAGGTGGTGATCAGACACAGGACACAGCTAATAAACACAAACAAATGAACAAGGACAGTTCTGCCCTCTTTTTGTTCGTTCATCCTTACCAGATCTTGAGCTCTTCAGACCTTTGCCTCTAGCCTGCTGAGCCTGGATCAGTTCCTCTTCCCAATTATGGGACCTAACTCATCAATTAAAGAGTAAATACAAATCATACAATAACAATTAGGGACTGATCAGGCAAACTGCTGAATGCTGATGTGATCAGACTATTTCGTGTGATTAACCATGTAAAAGTCCTTGAGGGAAGGCACTCAAGGGAATAAAGGCTTTATGATGTTCAGAGACACATTTGGGTTTTGCTGTCTTTATAATGTGGATGTTTGTGTGTTTGTTACAACTTTTTTTTTTTTTTTAAATGCTGTCCACTTGAGGTGATCATGCATATACTCTCCCATGTAATAAACGTTACAACTTTTAACAAAATTATTACGGAATCAAATTTATCTTCTACTGTACAGATAATTCAGTTCTTGGAAAAGCATCAGTTTCTGCTGTGATGTAACTTGTTCCAAACTGGTATATTCCACTGCAAAACACACACATTAAGATTTCATTGTGTAAGAAATGTAGTGCACAAAGTAAACTTTGGATAAGAATTCCTGATGGTAACATCTCTTAATATTTTTAAGGTTCTCGTTCTGTATCATGGGAAAATATTGTGTTTTGAAGACTTTCCTTTGCTAGCATCTAATCAGCCTCCGTGACTTTCAACAGGATAGCCCTGTGAGATAAAGCTACATATTTACAAGCGTGCTGTTTATTTTATCATTTTTCCAGGCCTGATTATTTCAATAATATTTGCAGTTCTTTTAACCCCCAAAGACAGAGCTCACAGACAAACTTCTTATTGAAGATATGTTTATCTTGGTTTGTAGTACAAGTTCTTCTGGATTCAAGACTAGTTTTTATACTGAATATGAGATTTGGCTATAAGAATAAGTGAAAATAAGATTTTTTTTTTTTTTCATGTTGTTATTTCTGACTTACTCAAGAACTAGTACATGTTATGCCAAGAGTGAAAAAGGAGGAGGACGTTATATACAGCTTTAAAATGTAGTTTGTGGTAAATTTGAAATTACTATATATATGAAGTTTACTTAAGCTCCCATATTTTCTTCCTTATCAAAATGCCTACGGGTAGCCAACCTGCCTTTTCTTCTTGAAAGAGCAAACATTTGCCATGAAAACTAAGACAAAGGGATGCTCAAAGCGAATAATGAAAACTTGTACTTTGTTAATGAGCAATTCATGCCTCTGATTGCTTGTTTTGATTACATTTTTCAGGAGATCTTAAAGTATATTATGCCTGTAAGCTGCTTTTGTTCTTTTCGGTCAACTTTACTAATGATAGTTATGGCAGACTAATAATTAAGAGTAAAATTACTTCGAAAAAGCATGACTCCGCAGTTCAAATAGTAGAAGGATCTCCAGTGAGTTTTTGGTTATATTGGAGAGGTTTTCTGTGCCCTGAGCAAGTCACTTAATCCATCCCAGTTGTGCATAATGAAGACCACAAATAGAGATGTTACCATGTTTGCAGTGTTTCAGGGACCACACAGAAGAGGCATTAGCTCATGCCTGACAGCAGATGACTTCTGTTCTTTATTAATGAATCATTTAATTCCACAGAATGAAAGCACAGCAGCATCTCTAAAAACAATTCCACAGATGCTACCAATACAAACTGGACTTGAGCAGTTTGGTTTTGTGGTCATCTGAAATTGCATTTTAAAGTCATTTCTAGTCTTTCCATCTTTTGATATAACTACTTTTACAATGTTATGTAATCCATCTATGTTGTTTCACTTGCCACCAATTAATCTTAGTTATTAACTCCAGTGTAGCTGCACCCAGGATTTCTCGAGTAAAAAAAAAAAAAAACAAAAAAACCCCAAGAGAAACAAAATAATTAAAAGAGTATTAAAGCTTTGTTTTAAAATATGAGTGCCCTTTTATTAAAAATAAGATATGGCTTACTCATTTAAATATATCTGGTCACAACTACTCTGAACTTACCTTCAGTTTAGCTCCCTTGTTGCTATGTTAAGTACGTTGTGTCAGTCCCAAAGACTAATAAATACAACCTTATGTTTTATAAAAGGAAAGGCACAAACCAAACCCTCCTCAGAAGCCGCTACCAGCAGACCCTCTGACCAAAGCCCGCTATAGCAGCGCGTGCACAGCAGTGTCTGGACACACAAAAGTTCTGCCGCACGTTACTCCTCTGAGGTGAGTTCTCCTAATCAGAACGCCGTGATTTACAACGCTTCATTCAGTGACGGGTCTAAAATGTCTTCAGTAATTACGCTCTGTTGTAACTATTGCTGACAGCCACGCAACAACCGTTTCCTATTTACTTATATAAAAGCACACGGTATCGGACTGATTCTCACTGGGGGTATGTCAGCACAATTGCACTGACTTCCACAGGAGTAAGAGAATTTTTACTACCTATGAAGGTTTGACTGTAAGCACCTGACCGCATATTTACAAAAAACTGCCCAATAAATACAATTCCTTGCAAAAGAAAGGTGTTAATAAGCATCAATTTCAAGAGAAGCACAAAGTGCTCTCAGAAAAAAATTCCCTACTCAGACCACCTACAGAATCAGGCTGAGAACTGAATGCTGTTAAAATCAATCACCAATAAACACAATTTTCCAATCACACATCTCACGACGGCACACCAATTTACATCATCTGAAAATAATACCCAAAACATTCAGGAAGCACACAAGTCATACACTTCAAAGAAAAGGATGATGAAAAAAATAATCTGGAAGGGAAATAACTATGCCTATTAACACTGGGCCTATGCCTGATGATATTTTTTTTACCCAACATTCTTCAGTTTCCCATAGAAAAAAAAAAAATAAGCTCAAAGAAAGATAAAAGCAGTGTTTTAAGCTACAGGAATTCTATTAGTGAGACATTTAATTGCTAAAAAAAAAATAGAATCAAGTTAGTTTCCTAAAGCTTCCAGCAAAAAGACTGTAAGAGTGAACTTTGAGTAAGGTCCTGGCTGTCCATTCTAAGTTATTCTGAAAGTAGTAACTTTCAGAATTTGGAAACTAACTGCTATTCTACAACATTAAGTAGCATTTTTGAACAGGTGCAAAATTGATGAGCGCCCAAAGAAGTAAAGAGTTTCAAGAACAACACTTGAAACATTCAGCTGGCTTATCCCACTGGCCAGGCAGCAATTAAAACATGAACTGAAAAAAAAAAAAAAAAAAAAAAAAAAAAAAAAAAAAAAAAAGAGTCTGCTGGTTCCATTTACACTTCGTGATGAGACTTGTGTATATAGTAATATGTCTGATCTCCTCCCAGCATGTCCCCATGCTACATTCTGAAGTTGACTTGGATAACGCGAAGAAGTTTCACCCTTCATCTTCATGCCTCGAGCATGCTGCTTGGCAGTGAGAACTAACAAAAGTTTAAATGAAAATTTGCTTTTTTTTTTTTCTTTCCAACAGACCAGCTCCTAAGCATCCACCACAGGTATCCAGGTCCAGCAACACTGCTGATGTGAAATGACAAGAAAATCTGACACCTTTATTTTAAAAAGTGAAGACAGAAGTTTGCACTATCTTTAAACTCCAGCTGGAGTTCATTTTTTTATGACAATACTTAGAATTTTTAATGTTTAAAACAGCATTATTTTTAAGAATTCTGAGCTACTGCCTTTGGTGCTGTGCTGTGCTATGGTGCTCTGTATACTTGCTCAGGTACTTGTAAATTATTAATTTATGTTGAATATTTATTACAGTGCAGTGCACTGTAGTAGATATTTTTACCATAGCTGAGTTTTCCTAAAAAGGAAGCCTTTTTTTTTTTTTTTGTAATATTTCATTGAACTTGAATAATTCTGCTCTATTGGTCCTATGTAATGTGTTTAGTTTTGATCTGTTCTTTAAGGAGTGCCAATACTCATGGATAAATCAAATGTATAAACAACTCAATCTCGATGGTTCATAACAAACTTTTGAATAAATATGTCAGGGTACCAGAAAAAAAAAAAAATCTCTTCTAGAACATGGTGAAATGCCCGATATCTGCACACCAATGTGTAATGTATGTATTTAACCAAAGTATCACTCAGTGTTAGTAGCTGTACTGTAATTTCAGTTTTCACATTACTGTTTGAAATCGTCAAGAAATCTGTGCTGAAAGAGGATGAATTCACTTTGGACAAGTTCTCTTACTGAAGAAGTACTGTATGTCATAAAACTGTATTATTTTTTAACCTCGTTTTCCTCAAACACAATACGGTTAGTACATATTAATGCAGATATCGGGCCTCCCGGTGTCATTATTGATGCTTTGGTAATGAAATTCACCTACACTGTGTAAGGTAGTAGTATCTCACTATGTCGCATAGCAGGGGGCGGGGGGGGAAGCCATGTGTTACATTTTAGGAATCAACTATTATACTTATTTCTTTTGCCTCATCGCTCTGCTTATCAACTGTATTTCGCATATTTACTACTGTTTTGTATTTAACTTCTAAAATATTTTTCTGGGTTTCTTAATGTGCAAATCAAAACGCCTGTTTTAATACATAGACTTTGGTTATCCTAAGACATGGGGAAAAAAAAAAAAAAATAATCTCTTTACTATGTGGTAGCGTTACACCTGATCTCTTCTGTACCTTCTCAGTAGCACTGCTGAATACAGTTGTTTCACCTATGCTGTAATGAAAACAATTTTCAAATATCAGTCGAAGTAGAGGGAGAAGGAAGTATTACCTTATATAGGTTAGTTTCCTCATTGCTTGTAGGTTTTGTTTCTTTAAGCAAAAATAAAAGCATTGATAGAAACTTGGATCTCATTTCAGTGAGTGTAATTGTATTTCATTTTCCCAGTTATTCCCCGTTGTAGCAATACGGTGCTTACGTTTATCGATAAACTAAAGAAACCAAAATAAACCATAGTTTAGTTTGCTGCTGAATAGCAAAAGTAAATGTTTCCCAAAAGCATTTAAACTCTTAAAGCAACTCTAAGAGCAACAACAGCGCTTTATGTATGGAGAATCACTACAACAGGACGATGGTCACTCACCCTAGGCTCAGCAATGCCACTGAAACCAAAACTATGCTTTTTACATCATTTACATATTTTTGTATTTAAAACACTAATTTCTTCCTGTTGGCGAGCTTTAGATCTAAAAAGGGGGAAGTGAGGGGAGCATCTCAGTTTGAAGCAGACACACGATCGCAGTTTGCTTGGTTGAGTACTCCCATTTTTAGAATGACAAGTCATCGGGCTGCATCGAAATGCTGAAAAATCACAAGACGAAGCCGTAAGTAGCGAAAGAAGGCGGTGAGGTTAAATGACTAAGGGGTTTGTATTATCTGCATCGGAAGTTGTAACATCTGAATGTAACGGCACCAGCCTAGGTAAGACTTAGTGCATGTATACATTTAAAGCTTTAAACTAAGCTTTAGGTTGAAAATAAAGGTGACCCACCTGTGCAGTCTTACAAGTACAGAAATAGAAATATCCATAGAGGGATCCCCGCAGTCTTGTCCCTGTAAGAGCCAGCAGCCATCTCACCAACACCGAGTCCAGAACAGACCACAGTCCTGGGACCCGAGCACAGCAAAGCTGGGACCTTGCTGGGGTGATGCTGAGGGCCTTTGGACATGCAGGTGGGTGCCTGTTCCCCCCCCCCTCCCCCCCTGAGAAACAACACCCACACTGCTTCACGTCTGGAGGAAGATGACAGAACGATAAAAGGACACTGCTCTGTGTCCCCACCTCCAGGTGGAGGGTTAAGATTGAAATGCCTGGATGGTTTTACTGGCTTGTAGCTCTCAAAGAGCGCCATACCTGGCTGTTAGTGTATTCCCAACCAGCACAAGCACCCTCCCCGCTGCCCAGCATCACGTCTGCTGGTGCGAGAGGAAGGGGAAGTCCAGGCATTCACCACGGATGAGGCGAGAGGCCATCCTTGGCTGCTGTAGCTGAGCAGCAGGAACCCAGAGGCAATGGGGCATCATTAACATAAGACTTTTTACTGTCTTTAACAATTCAGAGAGAGAGCGAGCGAGCACGTGCAATCTGGGAGAAAATATGTTTAAACAAGCTGTGAACCAAGCAGATTACTAAGCAGGAAAGCATATGTCAAATTTATTAACTATTAACACTTTTCTAAAACAAGCAGCTGAAGCATATGTATCCAGCGATGTGGAATGTGGTCTTACCCTAAAGAGTGCAGGATAACATGCACGTGTTATCGGAGTTACTATCTTAGCGTAGACATGGCTAAAGCTAGAGATTTGTAGCCGTTTGGAAAAAATAGAAAATAAAAAATCGTAATTCCCCCATCTGAAACAAGGGCAAGCAAACCTGAACTCCCATTACTCAAAACCAACAAAAGGTAGTTACTAGCATACTACAAGCTGATTTTTTTTTTTCCTCTCATAGCAAGACAGACAAGTAGGTGCAACGTATAACACAGTCATGTAATCTGGAATCCTTCCAATTAGCGGGTATGCAAATATATTTATACATATTCAGATGAAAAATACTACAGGCAGAAAAGGTTCTGTAGCTTTTAGAAGGGGCAAGGGGGAACCTGATGAGCTATCAAGTACTACTTTTGTTTTGCTGCAGTGGTTTTTTTTTCCCCCAGGATGTGAGCAGTAGGGGGCTGCGTGCTGTTTTCATACCAAATTAGTGTCTTCATGATTAGACATGCAGCTGTCACGTAAAATTCCATTGTGAAAACCAGATGAATGGTTTGCCATTAAGGACAGTGTCAGCAAACCAGTTACCGGGGGATACGCCAGGATATGAAATGCCACACTGGCTACTCTGTGGTAGCTGCTCGGTGTATGGACCTGCAGTATCTGGTTTCAAAGTGCTGTCAGCCCGGGCTTCAAGTCCTGTCCTAAGATACTCATCTAGCTCTATGCTCAGCAAACCGTAATTATTAAAGGAGATTTAAAAGTTAAACGACATCATCCTTTAAATCCTCTTTTTTTTTTTTTTTTTTTTTTTTTTTTTAACGTTCAATGCATCTTTGCGTGACAGATCTTCTCAATAGATCCCTACTCTTGTAGGGATCCCTACTCTTCCTTTCTATCTCCTTTTTCCACGCACATATACCAGCCTACTCAACAGGAGACACTGGTAGAGGCACGTGCCCTTTCCAGAGGCAAGGCAAGACCATAGTTTGCTCTCCCTAAAGCACTGCATGACAGTGCTGCTATTATCCTCATCAATAGAATAGTAAGTACAAAACACCATCAAAGAAGAGGAATCAATATGCAGCAAACCAAAAGAAAAATGCATATTTAGCCATCAAATCTCTTAGGTTTAGTGTTCTTTGATAACTGATAGCTTTAAAAAAATAATCTAAGTAGTAAGATTTTTTTTTTTTAATTGCATGGAATAATTTGAGAGTTCTTTCAAAAGCTCACAAAAGAAAAATATATAGCTTTATTCTTATCTTCAATTCCGGTTTCTTCTGATCATTTGAGCGTACAATATTAATTCTCTTTTATCAACTTCCAATCAAGTAACAATATTTTTTAACTCTAAATTACCATGTAACAGTAAAAAAATTTAATTCTTATCCTGCAAACGTTCTCCAAAACATAATTTTACAAACTTGGTAATGCAAAAACTCATTCTGCACACAGCCCATCCTTCCAGATAACTATGCCACGCAGTACCAAAAATTAAAGATACATCATAGGCAGCTGCCCTTTTCACATAATACCTTTAAGAGAGAAGCATTAAAAACCTAGAGCATATCGAGATAAAGTTTTGAACTCTTGGAATGCAGTTAGATTCAGAAATCAAATACCCAACATCATCATCAGGACAAAGATTTATTTCTTTTCCATTATTCTTTTTTTTTCTTTTTTTTTTTTTTTAAGCAATATACATGTATTGTGTGTCTGTACAAATGAACAATACATTTTTGATGTTTTACTACATGTCTAATTTTTACATATCAATTTATATCCTTTAACATACTTAGGAATACACAACTTTCTGGTGCGTAGCATCAGCAGAAGAATAATTTTATATATTTTTAAATAGAACACTACAAAGTGCTTCCTATGAGTCTAAACAATCAAACCAAGAAAAGGAATAGAAATATTTTAAAAACACTTTAAGGGAGGCTACCTAAAAAACACTAAGCATACTTTTTTTATTTGAAAAGCTGTTATTGCCACAACATTTAGGCATGGTCATTAACTATTTAATAAATTATTGTGGACTGTTCATGGTATGGACGCAGACAGACCAGTGTACCATCTTTATGAGCCATTCATTTACAGTCCTTGCTGTTAAAAAAAAAAAAAAAAAAAAAAAAAAATTTTAAACTTTTCACTATCTATGCTATGTAGAGCACTTTTACCAATGCAGCAGGTTTCTATATTTTACATTTCTAGTAGACTCTTCCACTTGAAAGTTCTTCAAGCAAATACAATCTGGTAATTCGACAGCTGAACTATCTGCTCATTAAGTACTATCAGTAAATACAGTCTTAATTATATTTGGTGTTTTGCCTATGTAATTACCCAAATGGTTAGGAAAATGCCAGTTTCCTCAACATAACATACAACGTGCTAAGAGAAAAGGGCAGCTTTTTTGCATGTACATTCTGACTGCTTCAAGTACACGTATCAAAAGAAAATACTCTGCAATAGATTGCCCTTTCCTTGTAGGTACCTTTCATTGGCATGTCACGGATGTTTCTACGTGTAGATATTCCCAGGAGATTTTCCTTCTATTAAACGGAATCGGAAAAGGAGAGATTTGCTAAGTATAAAAGAACTTCAGTTAAATCAAGAAAAGCAACCCATTCAGGAAAAAAAAAAAAAAAAAAAAAAAAAACCTCAGAGCTGAACGCAGAAGGAGCACGTAGGAGACACAGAAAATAAAGTGATTACCATTAAGCAGAAAGTCTCACGCAGCAGCCTTTATTCCAGCAATTACAGAGCAGAAACTCAGCTTACCTGCTTCTCCATGGGCCAGGATTACCTT